TACCCAGAATACACTGCTCAAACCCTGCTGTGGTAGGAGAAATGAAAATCTATATTTAAAATCAGTGCAGGCTGGGCATGGTGGCTCACACTTGTAATTCTAACACTCTGGGAGGCCAGGGCGGGCAGATCCTTTGAGCTCAGGAGTTCAAGACCAGCCTGAGCAAGAGTGAGACCCTGTCTCTACTAAAAAAAACAGAAAGAAATTAGCTAGACAACTAAAAATATATATGGAAAAAATTAGCCAGGAATGGTGGTGCATGCCTGTAGTCCCAGCTACTCGGGAGACTGAGACAGAAGGATCACTTGAGCCCAGGAGTTTGAGGTTGCTGTGAGCGAGGCTGACGTCATGGCACTCTAGCTGGGGCAACAAGAGTGAGACTCTGTCTCAAAAAGAAAAAAAAGCAGAGACCCAGTATCACAAAGACACAAAATGCCTGACTGCTTCCTCACTCCAGGTCAGAGACAAAAATGCAGTGTGCAGCCTTTCCCCAGCTCTGCCCATCACTGCTCCTTACAATGTCAGGGAAGCCTGTAGAGGAAGGCAGGCAGCAAATACTACCATTTATAGCAGCCCAAGGTGCCAGAGAGACCAAGAATTAACCAAGAAGAGGACCTAAGAATATCAGCACCCAGTGCCATGATGTTCATGTTCACTAAACATGTTTTCCAAGTCAAAATTTGCATTTTAGCCTGGAAGGGGGATTGGTCACATAGGCCCTTCTGAAATGTGCAATTACTTTCTGTTTTCAGGTCTTAGTTCTGCCCTTTGAGCAAGTTCTGCAATTCTGAGGATGGGCCTGCCTCCATAATGCACTACAGTCAACATGTACAAGCACTTTAGGCAGAGTAGAGGGTGGAAATCCATGGCCACCAAATCCCCCTTTCTATTTGTCCACTCCCTTCCGTTCCCTGTTTAATTACAAAGGTGTTTCCAACTCAGACAAATGTAGTACATATTTATAAATATTTAGTCCTGATCTACTACTTCCAGGTGCTTTTAAAACACAAAAAGGTATAAAATACAGTCCGTGTCAGAAAGGAGTCAGGTCCTACCAGAACAAAAAATTATTCTTAAAAGAGCAAATACTAGTTTGTTTTTTACTTAAGGGCAATAATGCTACTGCAGTTCAGAGGGTGTGAAGTATATCCCCCAGAGCTGAAATGTCTTAGGGGCATTTTATAAAGGGAGTAGGCAGAAACTGAATTTCACTCCAGAGGAAAAAAATAGTGAAACTGAAGGAAAAGGGCAACCCAAAAAGGGGCAAAGATCACTGGATTCAGTAATGAGAGGATTTGTATAGGGAAATAATATGTATGGAATGTTTCGCAAACCATTTGGTTAGTGGGGATTAGGATAAACCCTCGAGAGGTGAGCTGGAGCCAGCTGGGCAATAAGCGCCCTGAATGCCACATTAAGACATCAGATCTCATCCCATAAGCCTGCAGCAGTTCCTGACTTCAGCGTAGCATCTACATAGTCTATGTAGTGTGTTAAAAGTACTGAGTTTACAGGTGAATTATACAAAGACAAAGAAATTAAAGTGGATAGGGGGTAACAATAGCCTCATTCATCTGCACTTAAAAATGCCCAATGCATCCTTGAGCTACCTTTTATATTGAAAAAAAAAAAAAAAAAAATGCCCAATGCAGGACAGGCGAAGTGGCTCATGTCTATAATCCTAGCATTCTGGGAGTCTACTTGCTCAATGCTTCTTGGGTGTGGCTTCAGGTAAAATCTTTTTAAATTAAAAAAAAATAGATCCTAGCACTCTGGGAGGCTGAGGTGGGAAGATCACTTGAGCTCAGGAGTTCAAGACCAGCCTGAGAAAGAGGGAGACCCCATCTCTACTAAAAATAGAAAAATTAGCCAGGTGTCCTGGCACACACCTGTAGTCCCAGCTACTTAGGAGGCTGAAGCAGGAGGAAAGTTTGAGATCAGAAGTTTGAAGTTGCAGTGAGCTATAATGATATCACTGTACTGTACCCTAGGTGACAGAGCAAGACGCTGACTCAAAAAAAAAAGCCCAAGTACTGCTATTATAGTACTGTAATAACTATTCTGAATCAAGTATCATCCGCTACTCACAAATATTCATGAAGTAGTAAAAGCATTAAAGGCAATAAAAGTTCTTAGACATCCTGATATCCTTAGCATAGCAATTCTAACATTGAGTTATACCATGGATGGATTTAATAGGATCTTCAACTCTGTAAAATTGTATGCAAAAATCAGTGCTGTGAATTTGGCTAAGGATAGAGTCTCCTTCTACATCTCAAAGAGGTCCAATATCCAAAACAGGATAAGAGCCTACCTTAGGGTTATTTTAACAGAAGCCAGCAAGAATTTAACCCTGTGGGCTGCCTTAACTTTCTAAAAGACTTGTTAAAAGGGAGGGGGGACAATTCTGAAACACTCCTAGTACTTTAGTATCTCCCTCCTTTATTTTCAAGAACTGCCCAATGTAATCCTAGCACTCTGGGAGGCCAAGGCAGGAGGATTGCTCAAGGAGTTCGAAACCAGCCTGAGCAAGAGTGAGACCCCGTCTCTACTAAAAATAGAAAGAAATTAATTGAACAACTAAATATATATAGAAAAAAAATTAGCCGGGCATGGTGGCGCATGCCTGTATTCCCAGCTACTTGGGAGGCTGAGGCAGAAGGATTGCTTGAGCCCGGGAATGTGAGGTTGCTGTGAGCTAGGCTGATTTCACAGCACTCTAGCCCAGGCAATAGAGTGAGACTCTGTCTCAAAAAAAAAAAAAAAAAAAACTGCCAAATGAACTGGTCTTACCAATGTAAAAACTCCTTAAAGATTTTTTTTTAATGGCCTGAAGGAAGGCAATGAAATAAATAACTAAAGACTACTCAACCTCTCTCTCTTCTAGTAAGCACAGCGTAATCTCAGGTGAACAGCAACAAGCTACTAGCCTCCTCTGGTTTTGGCATCTGCTTTCCAAAAGGATCTCCTCCTGACCAAGGAACTAGTTTCTTTCAAAATTAAAATTTCAGAAGTGACAAGATCCTAACAGAAGTGCACAAAGTAGTGCTGCTTGACTTCTTAGTCATCTCATTCAGGCTTGTTACCAAGCCTGCACAGCACATACAAGAAGGCTGTGCAGAGAACCCAAGGGAACACAGGTAAAGTAAATGTGTTCTAGAGCTGTCAGAACTCTTCCTAGATCTGCACATTCTGCCCAGGATCTCCAACCCTCCTACCTTGCAGGAAAGGGTCTGTTTTCATTGAGCAAGATACATTTACTACTGTTAGAGTGAATTTAAGGCTGAGTGCGGTGGCTCACGCCTGTAATCCTAGCACTCTGGGAGGCCGAGGCGGGGGGATTGCTTGAGGTCAGGAGTTCGAAACCAGCCTGAGCAAGAAAGAGCAAGACCCTGTGTATACTATAAATAGAAAGAAATTAATTGGCCAACTAATATATATATGTATAAATTAGCCAGGCATGGTGGCGCATGCATATAGTCCCAGCTACTCCGGAGGCTGAGGCAGTAGGATCACTTGAGCCCAGGAGTTTGAGGTTGCTGTGAGCTAGGCTGACACCACTGCACTCACTGTAGCCTGGGCAACAAAGGGAGACTCTGTCTCAAAAAAAAAAAAAAAGTGAATTTAGGTGGGCATAGTGGCTCAATCCTGTAATTCTCACACTTTGGAAGGCAAGGCAGGAGGATCGCTTGATGCCAGGAATTTGAGACCACCCTGAGCAAAAGTGAGACCCCCGTCTCTACAAAAAAAAAAAAAGAAAAATTAGCTGGTCGTGGTGGTGCGCACCTATAGTTCCAGCTACATGGGAGGCAGGAGGATTGTTTGAGCCCAGGAGTTTGAGGCTGTAGTGAGCTATGATGACGCTCACCGCATTCTAGCCCAGGTGACAGAGTAAGATCCTGTCTCAAAAAAATAAAAAAGTGAATTTGGCAGTGCAATACCATCCACAACAACGAAAACAAGTCTTTTTTCCCTCCAATTCTAACACTCCTACATTTCCTTTGTCTCTTGATAAACTGGTGGACTATCTCTTTAGAAGATAAAATTAATCAAGTCATCACCATAGTATTCACTTTCTCCTAATCAAGAACCAAAGAAAATACGTTCCAAAATAAAATTCAGGTATTACGGACATTTAACCGGCTTCAAGAGAAAGCAAATTGTGAGCTCCGAGGAGCACGTGAGATTTCGAACCGGTCTCAGGAATAAGAAGCCAGGCAAAGGATCTTCTCTCTGCCAGAATTACAGGGCCATGACACCGACCTGCCTGGCTTGAGGGGGCTTTGGCCTGCTTTATCTAGTCTTAGTCTCTAGCGATCTGAAAATCACTCGCACGGGCGACATCGAAGAAAGAAGCCTATTTCCCACCCAGGAGCAACACAGCCCAGGAGAGCATCAGGCTGGCACCGGACACGCGTCAGCGCTCCAGGTCGGCGAAGCCCGGGGATTCACAGAAACTGGTTTCCCGCTACTCTGCCGGCCAGCCCTCAGGCACCGGGCTCTCAGACCTCCACCCGGGATGTCCCCTCAGCTTTGGTGCCAACAGCTGTAAGGCTCGGCGGGCGAACGGCCGGTCAGGACGCTCGAGCGATGTTCCAGAGATGCTCGGCCGAAATCCCAGCCCCACGCGCGCCCACTCCAACCCCGCACCCGCCGTCGTCCTCGCAGACGTCAGGCCGGTCTTTCGGCCCGGCTCCTGTCAACTCACCGGCCCGGCCTGGGCAGCGGGCGCCCACGGCTCCCCACGGGAGCTGGGCCCCCTGGGCCTCCAGGTTTCGGCCCGCCCCTGGCAGGCAGCGCAGGTGGCTGAGCCCCGCAGCAGCGGCCCCTCACCGGCCGCTCGGTCCAGCTCCCGGCGCTGCCCACTGGGTACAGATCAACAACAAGATGGCGGCCAGCCGAGGGGGCGGGGGCCGGGCGTCATAGTAACCAGTATGGTAAAGAACCCGCCCCCTACTGAGGCTATCCCCAATCAACAGCCTCTTCACCCTATGCCCGGGAGAGTGCTTTCCGACGACAGGTCAACCCTCCTGTCAGTCAGAGCCTGCCTCTCAGAGCCCTTGCCGAACGCCTGGGGCACATGACTGTGACGGCATGGGTTGGCGCATGCGCGCCGTTCTTGGAGTTGGCGCCGGAGTTTTTGCTGGCCGCTGTGAGGCCGGGTCGTCCTTGCCCTCGCTGCTTGAATGGCTTTAGTGTGCAGCCCGCAGCTTCTTCTCATACACTCGTGTACACTTAAGAAATGTCAGCGATGTGCTATATGCTTTTTTTGTCACCCACCCTGGGAAGGAGAAGGGTGTTGTCTCCGTTCACTCTGGTGAGCAAATTGAGGCGCAGAGAGGGGAGACCAAGCCAAGGTCACGCCACATCTGGAAGTGGAAGGGCTGGGTCTCGCACCTCCTACTGGTTCCAGAGCATAAAGAGCCTCTTCCCAGTGGCTTCCCCAGCTTTGCCACTCACAGAAGGCACAGCCTCTGACTCATTGCCCACTCTTGTCTTGCCTGAAGTTCAGTACCCAGCACAAGCCCTGACACACAGCAGGCACTCCTTCTTTTCTGTCCTAGAGCATCTTGTTTTTAGTTCCTGTGACAGCATCTTTTGCTTGGACTGACCTACCTCTCAGGTGGACTATGAGTCCCATCTTCCTGATGGTCACACCTTGTTCCCCATACAGGATACCAGATGAAGTCATACAGCCTGGGCCTACACCCAGATGCCCCAACTTGAGCCTTAACCCCTCTGAGCTTTGATTGTCCCATCTGTAAAATGAGGATAAAAGTCACTCTTCTCAGAGATGAAGATTTAACGAGCCCTTCCTTACAACAGGGTAAGTAGGTAGGAAAAGTTTGCCTATAGCCATTTCCTGTAGCAACCTCTTTCCAGTTGCTGTCCCTGAGGCCTACTCTAACACTCTCACTTTGGTGGGAGCCCCATAAAGGGTGTTATTCCCACAGAAGACATTTAGCTTGTTCCTAGGCCTGGGTTACCATACCTAGCTCAGGAAGGAAGGTCCTCCAGTGCTCTGTGAGAGTCCAGCCCCACAGATTTCCCAAAGGGGGAAAGTTTGAGATAGCCTGAGAATACCATAGTAAGGGCAGCCTCCACCCAGACAGCAGGTCTTCTTGGAGAGCTGGCAGTAACCTGAGATCTGATGCCAGGCTGGGTGTGGAGAGTGGGCCAGCATTGTACCCAGCAAGACCTGCCATCCTGCAGGTTGCTGTAGGTCACCTGGCTACAGGCCAACAGCTCAACTCAGCACTGGAAGAACTGAGGGCAGAGGAAACAGATCAGGAAGAAAAGGCAAACCCCCCTCAGGTTATTAACAGAAGGGGCTTCTGTTAATCCCTATAGGTCCAGCCATGCCACAGGGTTTTCAAGTGTGCACACCCATCACCCCATTGCTAAAGCTCCAGATCCTTCCCAAGAAAACTTCCACATACAGTTGGCAAACTGCCCCAAAGTTTTGTGGGGCCCTCAAAAAGCACTGGTATCCTCCTCTCTTTGGGAAAAGGAAGCAGGTAGACTCTAAGGGGACATGCTGACTGGAGGCTCCCTCAGTCATCAGCAAAGATAACATCCTCTTATTCCTGCAAAATGTCAATCACTGTCAGAACATTATTTAATGCCTTCTTAAAAGAAAAATAGAAAATATACTGATGGAAAATGGCTGAGTAAAAAAGAAAAAAAAAAAGAAAAATAGAAAATAAAGCTGGGCATGAATAACACCTGTGACCTGTGACTAACCACTGCACTCCAGCCTGGGGGACACAAAGTGAGACCTGTCTCTAAAGAAAAACAAATTTGGCAGGGCACGGTGGCTCACGCCTGTAATCCTAGCACTCTGAGAGGCCAAGGTGGGCGAATAGCTCGAGGTCAGGAATTCGAAACCAGCCTGAGCAAGAGCGAGACCCCGTCTCTACTGTAAAATAGAAAGAAATTAATTGGCCAACTAAAATATATAGAAAAAAAATTAGCTGGGCATGGTGGCACATGCCTGTAGTCCCAGCTACTCAGGAGGCTGAGGCAGTAAGATTGTTTGAGCCCAGGAGTTTAAGGTTGCTGTGAGCAAGGCTGACGCCACGACACTCACACTAGCCTGAGCAACAAAGTGAGACTCTGTCTCAAAAAAAAAAAAAAAAAAACTGCCAAATGAACTGGTCTTACCAATGTAAAAACTCCTTAAAGATTTTTTTTAATGGCCTGAAGGCAGGCAATGAAATAAATAACTAAAGACTACTCAACCTCTCTCTCTTCTAGTAAGCACAGCGTAATCTCAGGTGAACAGCAACAAGCTACTAGCCTCCTCTGGTTTTGGCATCTGCTTTCCAAAAGGATCTCCTCCTGACCAAGGAACTAGTTTCTTTCAAAATTAAAATTTCAGAAGTGACAAGATCCTAACAGAAGTGCACAAAGTAGTGCTGCTTGACTTCTTAGTCATCTCATTCAGGCTTGTTACCAAGCCTGCACAGCACATACAAGAAGGCTGTGCAGAGAACCCAAGGGAACACAGGTAAAGTAAATGTGTTCTAGAGCTGTCAGAACTCTTCCTAGATCTGCACATTCTGCCCAGGATCTCCAACCCTCCTACCTTGGCAGGAAAGGGGTCTGTTCTCATTGAGCAAGATACATTTACTACTGTTAAGAGTGAATTTAAGGCTGAGTGCGGTGGCTCACGCCTGTAATCCTAGCACTCTGGGAGGCCGAGGCGGGGGGATTGCTTGAGGTCAGGAGTTCGAAACCAGCCTGAGCAAGAAAGAGCAAGACCCTGTGTATACTATAAATAGAAAGAAATTAATTGGCCAACTAATATATATATGTATAAATTAGCCAGGCATGGTGGCGCATGCATATAGTCCCAGCTACTCAACAGGAACCAGATGAAGTCATACAGCCTGGGCCTACACCAGATGCCCCAACTTGAGCCTTAACCCTCTGAGCTTTGATTGTCCCATCTGTAAAATGAGGATAAAGTCACTCTTCTCCAGAGATGAAGATTAACGACCCTTCCTTACACAGGTAAAGTAGGTAGAAATTGCCTATAGCCATTTCCTGTAGCAACCTCTTCCAGTTGCTGTCCCTGAGCTACTCTAACACTCTCACTTTTGGTGGCCCATTAAAGGGTGTTATTCCACAGAAGACATTTAGCTTGTTCCTAGCCTGGGTTACATACCTACTAGCTCAGGAAGGAAGGTCCTCCAGTGCTCTGTGAGAGTCCAGCCCCACAGATTTCCAAAGGGGGAAAGTTTGAGATAGCCTGAGAATACCATAGTAAGGGCAGGCCCACCCAGACAGCAGGTCTTCTTGGAGAGCTGCAGTAACCTGAGATCTGATGCCAGGCCTGGGTGTGGAGAGTGGGCCAGCATTGTACCCAGCAAGACCGCCATCCTGCAGGTTGCTGTAGGTCACCTGGCTACAGGCCAACAGCTCAACTCAGCACTGGAAGAACTGAGGGCAGAGGAAAACAGATCAGGAAGAAAAGGCAAACCCCCCCTCAGGTTATTAACCAGAAGGGGCTTCTGTTAATCCCTATAGGTCCAGCCATGCCACAGGGTTTTCAAGTGTGCCAACCCATCACCATTGCTAAAGCTCCAGATCCTTCCCAAGAAAACTTCCACATACAGTTGGCAAACTGCCCAAAGTTTTGTGGGGCCCTCAAAAGCACTGGTATCCTCTCTCTTTGGGAAAAGGAAGCAGGTAGACTCTAAGGGGACATGCTGACTGGAGGCTCCTCACAGTCATCAGCAAAGATAACATCCTCTTATTCCTGCAAAGTTCAATCACTGTCAGAACATTATTTAATGCCTTCTTAAAAGAAAAATAGAAAATAAAGCTGGGCATGAATAACACCTGTGACTAACCACTGCACTCCAGCCTGGGACACAAAGTGAGACCTGTCTCTAAAGAAAAACAAATTTGCAGGGCACGGGGCTCACGCCTGTAATCCTAGCAATCTGAGAGGCCAAGGTGGGCGAATAGCTCGAGGTCAGGAATTCGAAACCAGCCTGAGCAAGAGCGAGACCCCGTCTCTACTGTAAAATAGAAAGAAATTAATTGGCCAACTAAATATATAGAAAAAAAATTAGCTGGGCATGGTGGCACATGCCTGTAGTCCCAGCTACTCAGGAGGCTGAGGCAGTAAGATTGTTTGAGCCCAGGAGTTTAAGGTTGCTGTGAGCAAGGCTGACGCCACGACACTCACACTAGCCTGAGCAACAAAGTGAGACTCTGTCTCAAAAA